CCAGTCCCTTTTAGCAGAGAGTTACACTTTGCAACAGTCCCGATTACCAAAGCACAGTAAAACAATAATTAGATAAGGGTAATTTGCATCAATACTATAAAGTTCCGAAGAACAATATCCCAGGTAATTGGTCTTGACCAACGTAAATAATGTGCGGCCTTTTTATTTACATTTGGTTTCTCCCATAAACTGCCTACTGGGTTGCAAGGAAGTTAGAGCCTAGCAAAAAACCGAATCCCCATCTATCAGTATTAATCTCACACTTTACTGAGGTGCTATCCATTTATCTTTCAGACACAAATTAGAAATTCAAGAGTTTTAACAAATGAGCCTGCAAATGTAAACTTATTAGGCCATATATTTTTTACTACACACTGTGCAGTGCCCTCCACAAAGCTGTCCCTTCAGAGAGCGTTTTTCTATTTTGTGTTATTGATGGCAGCTAACTAATCACATTTTTAATGTTGTCTTTGGGGAGGGCTGTTTGAGTGCCTGGGCAAACTAAACTACCCAGAATAAATCTACCTTATTAAATGCTTGAAATTATGTGTCTTTTACGATAAAGAAACTCTCGAGCATTGTTACATTTGCTAACCTGCTTCTTCTCCCCCCCAGAAATCAAAGAGACTTGGATTAATTAAAATAATACATCAAAACTGGGGATTGTACGGAACATGTCTGGGTATGAGGGAACAGGCAAGAAAAAATGGTTAATTGGTCTCTTTATCCCTATTCACACGCCACCTCCACCGAAATAGGCTAGCTTTTAAAGGAACTCTTAAAGCTAAACAAAAGTAAATCTAGCAAGGAGCCAGATCTATTGAAGATTCGGCAGAAACAATGGCTGCAGAGCACACCCCACCCCAGCAATGTTTGCCTGCTTCACAAAACCACTGCAACCAAATCTGCTCCTGAGCTCTTGCACAAAATATCCAATTTAAGTGAACCTTAAATCATTCCACTGCAGTACCTGAAGTTTATTTCAGATTTCATGAACTAAAACATATCATGTCTTTGTTGTTGTTGTTTAGTCGTTTAGTCATGTCCAACTCTTGGTGACCCAATGGACCAGAGCATGCCAGGCATACCTGTCTTCCACTGCCTCCCACAGTTTGGTCAAACCCATTTTGGTAGCTTCGAGAACACTGTCCAACCATCTCGTCCTCTGTCGTCTCCTTCTCCTTGTGCCCTCCATCTTTCCCAACATCAGGGTCTTTTCCAGGGAGTCTTCTTGTCTCATGAGGTGGCCAAAGTATGGGAGCCTCAGCTTCAGGATCTGTCCTTCCAGTGAGCACTCAGGGCTGATTTCCTTCAGAATGGATAGGTTTGATCTTCTTGCAGTCCATGGGACTCTCAAGAGTCTCCTCCAGCACCAGAATTCAAAAGCATCAATTCTTTGGCGATCAGCCTTCTTTATGGTCCAGCTCTCACTTCTATACATCACTACTGGGAAAACCATAGCTTTAACTATACGGACCTTTGTCGGCAAGGTGATGTCTCTGCTTTTTAAGATGCTGTCTAGGTTTGCGATCAGAAGGTCGGCGGTTCGAATCCCTGTGACGGGGTGAGCTCCCGTTTCTCGGTCCCTGCTCCTGCCAACCTAGCAGTTCGAAAGCACGTCAAAGTGCAAGTAGATAAATAGGTACCGCTCCGGCGGGAAGGTAAACGGCGTTTCCGTGCGCTGCTCTGGTTCACCAGAAGCAGCTTAGTCATGCTGGCCACATGACCCAGAAGCTGTACGCCGGCTCCCTCGGCCAATAAAGCGAGATGAGCGCCGCAACCCCAGAGTCGGTCACGACTGAACCTAATGGTCTGTGGTCCCTTTACCTTTACCTTTAGGTTTGCTATTGCTTTTCTCCCAAGAAGCCTACTTTATGGTTCAGCTCTCACTTCCATCCAGTAGTGATGTATGGATGTCTTTACATTTGGTTTAATAGTCATTCCCTCTCCTTGAGGAATTCCAATGCCTGTTGTTCTTATCTGTGAAGTGGGCTGAATGAATTCTCAGCATCTTCTCCAAATTACAGATCCCAAGATGATGTAGTAATTTATTAAAAACAATTATACTTTATCTTCCTGTTCTTTTTTTTGTTTTTTTGTTTGAAAAAATCCAAACAATTAAGCCAACTTGCAATATCAAGATTAAAATAATACAACCTCCACACACAAACACAAACTGGCAGAGCAACCCACTGCTTAGCATCTCTTGGGGGAACTGCATTGATCAGAGGTGGCCTTCCATCCATTCCTGCCATCCATTGCCTTGAAGGTAATGTTGATGTGCCAGCTTCCCTTCTGACCACTAGACTAAGGTTACCAGATTTTTTTCAATGAATCCAGGGACACTTTTCAACTTCAATAAGAATGATAGGATTTTGTATGGGGACTGATTTGTAAATCCGGGGACTGTCCCTGGGAAACGGGGACGTCTGGTAACCTTACACTAGACATATGGGCAGAAATGCCAGTGGCCAGTCCCAAACTGGGACATGCTGGGGGAAAGGAAAGAGAGTGTCTGAGCCAATGTTGGAACCATTGGATCCTTGGCCCAGCATTCAGCCTGACCCCCTTCTGGCCCGGCTACTGTGTGTGGCACGGCTGCTAATACGGAGGTTGCCCCATCGCTCTTGTCAGCCACACTGGGCAGTGAGGATGGGTAGAATTGCACCCTAAACCATGGATAATTACATTGCAAGAATAGGGTTGCCATATTTCAAAAAGTAAAAACCAGGACACCCGAACGTTGCTGAATTATTATTTTAGGAAGACCCTTTGTAGAGCTTTGTTAAGGAATTCCCAAAGTTGCTGAGCTTTTTCTTTACAAAAACTGTGTCTGTCCATTCCCAGTTGATCACATTATGTGGCACACATACACCATTAACTTTTAATTAAATTTAATTTAATTTTTGGGACGCAGGTGGCACTGTGGGTTAAACCACAGAGCCTAGGACTTACCGATCAGAACCTTGGCGATTCGAATCCCCGCGACCGGGTGAGCTCCTGTTGCTCGGTCCCTGCTCCTGCTAACCTAGCAGTTCGAAAGCAAATCAAAGTGCAAGTAGATAAATAGGTACCACTCCAGCAGGAAGGTAAACGGCGTTTCCGTGCGCTGCTCTGCTTCACCAGAAGCGGCTTAGTCATGCTGGCCACATGACCCGGAAGCTGTACGCCAGCTCCCTCGGCCAATAAAGCGAGATGAGCGCCGCAACCCCAGAGTCGGCCACGACTGGACCTAATGGTCAGAGGTCCCTTTACCTTTTTACCCATTAATTTGGGGGGCCCCCTCAAAATTTTATGAAGGGACTGAAGTTCCTCCAACCCCTAGGAGTTGGCTCCTATTTGGCCCTATGAGTAGGGTTGCTATATTTCAAAAAAGTAAATACGACGACACCCCAAAAGTTGTTGAGCTTTCTTTGGAAAGACCCAAGATTGTGGAGCTCTTTTCAGGATCCCTCAAAGTTGTTGAGCTTTCTTCTAAAAAAGCCTGAGATCCAGGACAAAGTGGCACCTTTCGGGAATTCCCCTTGGATGTCAATTCCACCTTTGAAATCCCGGTAATGTCTGGGAAAATGGCAGCCCTACCTAGGAGTGAATTTCTAGATGCTTAACGCTCACTTTCTGTTTTATCCTCACGGATCACAGTGTGCCTTGAGAGAACTGTGGTTTCTTTTTACCACAGGGAGGAATTCTGCTATTCACAACTTTGAAATGAATCTCGAGTAAAATCTTGGGCATTGCCAGCCTTGCTGAAGTTAGATTTTAACTCAGATTCCTAAACAGCAGCCACTAGCTCCCTATCTGTTATAAGCGCAGCGTTCTGGTTTTTTCACTCAAATTGCCAATGCAGAGATCTCTGTCTGGATCGTGACCCTAACATTTGGAGAGGGGCTTTGTCTCCACTATGGTCCTGATCCTGAGCCTTCCCGGCGACAAGTTGTTTACAAGCTATTCTACACTTAATGGTACTGATAGAGGCCAGGCTGAGATCACTGAGACAGAAAAACGTCCCAAGTTTCCTCTTGCAATGAAAGGGATTCAAAGCAAATTCAGACCATCTGATTTAAAAACACTCCAACTTTATCACCAAATGCTTCCCAAGCAGAGAGCTTGCATTCTTCTGTTTTTACAAAAACCCATTCAGCAGCTGCCTTTTCTATCCCACGGTAAATATTTTTCTTCACACGCCTAGGAAAGCACTACCACGGGCAAGGAGGAGGAGTTGTACAGTAGCCATTAACAAATGGAAGAAAATCATAACGATGGCAAAGGGGGCGAAAAATATGGTACTTTATTTTTGCATCTTGAGGCTGCGGCAGATTCCTGAGTAACTGCATCATCTAGCAAGGCAGTTTTGCACATGTACTTTATGCTTTTGCTCTGCACGCAATCCCTAATCTCACGGTTTTGTGTACTTTTTGATATCTTCTTTATTGTTTGTGATTACTTTTGTTATGTTTGTAAATATGTAAAAAAATTAAAAAATCATATTAGTAGTGATATATGGAAGTGAGAGCTGGACCATAAAGAAGGCTGATCACCGAAGAATTGATGCTTTTGAATTATGGTGCTGGAGGAGACTCTTGAGAGTCCCATGGACTGCAAGAAGATCAAACCTATCCATTCTGAAGGAAATCAGCCCTGAGTGCTCACTGGAAGGACAGATCCTGAAGCTGAGACTCCAATACTTTGGCCACCTCATGAGAAGAGAAGACTCCCTGGAAAAGACCCTGATGTTGGGAAAGATGGAGGGCAGAAGGAGAAGGGGACGACAGAGAACGAGATGGTTGGATAGTGTTCTCAAAGCTACCAGCATGAGTTTGATCAAACTGCGGGAGGCAGTGGAAGACAGGAGTGCCTGGCGTGCTCTGGTCCATGAGGTCACGAAGAGTCGGACACAACTAAACAACAACAACAACAAGAAGCCACCTTGAGCGTGGTTTGAATTATGGAAAGGCAGCACATAAATAAAATGGCGATGATGATGTATGTATTTGCACAAGGCTAGATAGCTCAGCTGGTGAGAGCATGGGGCTGATAACGCCAAGGTTGCAGGTTCGATCCCCGTATGGGACAGCAGCATATTCCTGCCTTGCAGGGGGTTGGACTAGATGATCCTCAGGGTCCCTTCCAACAATACAATGCTATGATTTTGTGGGTAGTAGGGAACATGCAAAGTGGAATCCCATGGCTGCTTTTAGCATTATGCTTCCATACAGCATGCGGGCAAAAAGCGTGCCCATAGTTGTTGAGCCTGCATTTCCTGTATATAAAATTTGATTGGGTGATATATTTACCTACCGTATCGGCCCGAATATAAGCTGCACCCAAAAAACCCCCCGCACCTTTAAAATTCAAGGGGGGGGGGGAGAGAGAAAAAAGACAATACTCAAATATAAGCCGTCCCCTAAAAATTCCGCAGGCACTCACACCGGTTCCATTTTACCATAGGTCTGTTTCAGCAGCGATATCGTAAAAGCCAATTTTTGTGAGGTCGCGAATTTAAGCCGCACTTTAACTTTTCAAGATCAGAATTTGGAAGGAAAAAAAAGTGAGGCTTATATTCAGGCCAATACGGTACAGTGGTACCTCAGGTTACAGACGCTTCAGGTTACAGATGCTTCAGGTTACAGACTCCGCTAACCCAGAAGTAGTACCTCAGGTTAAGAACTTTGCTTCAAAATGAGAACAGAAATCATGCGGCGGCGGCGCGAGGCCCCATTAGCTAAAGTGGTGCTTCAGGTTAAGAACAGTTTCAGGTTAAGAACGGACCTCTGGAACGAATTAAGTACATAACCCGAGGTACCACTGTATATTTATTTGCTTCTTATACCACTCTCATACTGCATTATCCCACAAGGCAGCTTTGCCTATGCACTTCAGGGACTGCAGCTGGGGTGCCACTGGGAGCACAGAGAGATACATAAGATAAATAAAGCCATCAGCGTAATTTAAATTCACAACCGCATTAAAATCCAAACACGCATTCTTCCGAAACGGCACTCCCCACATAGACAGCTATTGGGTTCGATTTGCGAAGCCTGTGTCGTTTGTTCCCCCTTGTAATTATGCAAAGTTTTCAAAAACCAGTATTAAACATTGCCATTTAGACGGCGCTGGGGGTATGTTTTCCAGTATTAACTATGTATCTGCTTGGAACCATTTCTCCGACTTTCAGGGGGAATATTCCCAAATTAGGTGCGTCAGGAGGATAGACTAAAACGCTCGCTGATACCTCGCCGGCTCTTTTGTTGCCCAAGGGAAATTTCATATGTCACAATTTGGTTGCGCATTTTCGTCTCTTCTCTGTTTATTTGGCCTGTAGCTTTTTTTTTTTTAATCCAAACATGCCAATATGGTTGGGTCTTTTATTTTTCAAAAACAGCAGCCACAAGAAGTTGACTGTAAATTGGAGAGCTGGATCCAGTTTCGCTGCTGATTGCTTAAATGGATCATTGCCTAATTTGGCTATGTTTGAACGAATTGGGAAGGGGGGGGCAGAATTTTTTCTAAAGCTATGTCTCCCCTCCATTTTTAAAAAAAGTGATCTTTGCCTTCACCCATTACAGCCCATTGCACTGTTGCCCCGCAAAAGATGAAACGAAAGACTCCCTGTTTGTAGGAACAGGATGCAGAGGAGATGACCTTCTTGCAAGGACAATTTGGCCTCAGTAACTGCGCATAAGACTGAGCATCACCAGGTAGATGCAACAGCTGCATCCCAGTAAAAACGCCAGCAAAAAAGACCAACCTGATCCCAATTGATGCCTGCTAAAAACTCACCTTTTCAGACCCTCCAAGTGTCCCTATTCTCTCTCTCTCTCTCTCTCTCTCTCTCACACACACACACACACAATTAAATTTTCTGTTTTACAATTTAAAATACTCATTTAAACATCCTTAAAATATACGCCGGCTCCCTCGGCCAATAAAGCGAGATGAGCGCCACAGCCCCAGAGTCGGTCACGACTGGACCTAATGGTTAGGGGTCCCTTTACCTTTACCTTTAAAATATAAATGACTTCCCTTCTTCTCATTGCACGGTTCATTTTGCATATCAGCCCTGTTTAGGGAAGTTTTTAATGTTTGACGTTTTATTGTGCTTTTAATTTTCTGTTGGGAGCCGCCCAGAATGGCTGGGAAAACCCAGCCAGATGGGTGGGGTATAAATATTATTATTGTTTATTATTATTATTATTATTATTATTATTATTATTATTATTTAATCCCTCGTGTTTTACAAAAACTAAACCATTCAGTATTCCATTATTACATCCATCAACACTTATTTACACTGTTGAATTTATCTTAATGCTGCCAATGTTTTCAAGTGTACACAATTCCCCCCATATATTCAATAAACGTTTTTTAGTCTTCTCTCAAGTGCCTCTTTTTTCCAGGGACGTCCCGGATTTAGAGAAGCCATCCCAGTTTCTGATTTGTTCCTGGAATGTCCCGCTTTCCCTTAGGATGTCCCTATTTTCATTGGAGAAATGTTGGAGGGTGTGGAGTTATCTGACCCGCAACTGAAGGCAGTCCTGTATAGGGAAGGGTTTTTTTAAAAAAATGTTTAATGTTTTATTACATTTTTATATACGTTGGAAGCTGCCCAGAGCAGTTGGGACACTCTGTGTTGGGTATAAATAGTAAAATTATCATTATGGAATGGGATGTCTCTATTTTCATCGGAGAAATGTTGGAGGGTATGTTGTTTTAGCCTCATTTCATCATCCTACGATCTCTATCCTTTCCCCTCCACTCCTGTATCTTCTAGTCTTTCAGACTGTAAGCCAGGGGCAGGGCTAGTATATTGTGATTTATGTACAGCATAACGTAAATGCTGCAGAAATAATAACTTACCATGCATTGCATATCCCGTTGCCTTTAGCTATTGTTCCCACTGGGTGTTGGACCTGGGTCTTAGAGAGGCAGGTCCACGTTCAGCCTCATCATCAACCTTCTACATACAGGGTTGCCATGGTTCTTGACCTCTACCTTCTTTCTGAAAAATGGGAGTAATGTATAAGACACAAGCTATAATGCAAGAGCAGCAAGATGGCTGATCTATGCTTGCAGCGGATTTGAGAAGGTCAGTTCCTGGAATTAGAAAATATTTCAAGGGGATGAGGAGGCAAAGTCATCTTGTTATGCTGTTTTTATTTATTTAAATGAACGTACACCTTTCCGTTCAGAGCAAGAAAGCTTCTGAAAGTAGCTTATAACAATCTGAAAACAACTTTAAAGCATAAATAGTAGCGGATAAGAACCCAGTGCAGTAACAGCAACAGTATCAACCAGAATTGAACACATATAAATTATTGTAATGAGAAAAGCAACAATGCCTATGTAACCACAGCAGCTAGGATTTTATATGTGCAGAAATGGAAGGGAGATAGGCCTGCCATATTTCAAAAAGTAAACTTCCTCCTGATGCCTGCAAAGTTGTTGAGATCTTTTTTTAAAGGAAACCACCGAAATTGTTGAGCTTTTTTGGGAAAGAAACCCAAATTGTTCCGCTTTGAGGGGGGAGGAGAACCTTCCCCAAAATAGTAATTTTAAGCTTTTTGAGCTGTTTCCGCTGATCGCGTTCACATACACCATGGCATTTTGCCAATTCGGCAAAATTCCCTCCCTGACGCCATTTTTACACCAGAAAACCAGGACATGTCAGGAATTTTCCTGACATATGGCAAGACTAAGAGGAAGAAGTTCCAACTAAAGTAGAAGGGGTAAGAGATAAAGGACAAGGTAGAAGTGGCAAAATTAACAGCAAAATTAAGAGACTCTAATGATGAGTGTCTTATGGGAGAATGGATGCCTTTTTCAGACTATTTAAAGAAATATTATAGTATGATGAACTCATGAGCAGGATTTGAGCTATGAGCAACAGAAGTAATTAGATTGTAATATTGTGGTTATTTGTTGATAGGAAGAAGATAGGATGTAGCAGAAGGGGAGGGGGAAAAACTGTGGAAAAAGGGGTGGAAAATTGACAAAAATAAGAGAAAAGACGAAATTGTGTTATGACTGTCTATGTTAAAAATGTTGACACTTAATCAAATATAACAAAGAGAGAGATAGAGAGGCAACAATATGCTACTCGAATACTCAGGAGCACAAATGCCATCCAATAATAATCGAAGAAATAGTAATACTATGGAATAACAGAAATTGGAGTAACAACCAATAATAACGATAATATAATATCAATAACAAATAACAGGGAAAGAAATAAAAACCAACCAGTAATAATATAAATCACAGCAATAGCACAGTGGTTCCCAACAACAGTAACATTAAAAAGAAGAATTAAGCATAGCAAAGAATGGTTTTAAATAATAGCCAAATAATAGCAGCGGCAATAACTTGAAGTAACAACAATAACAAATAGCATATATTTATTGTCTTTTTTCACCTGTCCTTCAGCAAGTGGACCCAGCGTGTGTTACAGCATATAAAAACACAATTATTAAAACAGTCAAACAAAACAACCTCACTCATAACCCCCCACATCAGTAATCCATACAACGTATTGTCGCTGTGGGCTCCTTCGGGAAGAAGGGTAGGATATAAATTGAATAAATAATAGTAATTACAGGGATCAGTTCATCTGTTTTCAAATCCAGAGTAAAGAAGTGTGTCCTCAGCCACCAATGGGAGCTGTACAGAGATGAGGTAGGGAAACATTTTTGGACCAGTGGGCCAGCTCTTCATCCTCTCACCCCGTGGGCCCAGGTGGGCAGGTGGGTGGGTCCATTTTCTAATACTATAATGCAGTGGTTTTCAACCAGTGTGCCATGGCACCCTGGGGTGCCTTGAATGGTGGTCAAGGGTGCCGTGGGCAACACTGGCCTCTGTCCCTCTTTCCTCTCCTCCCTCCTCTGATGCCCTCTGTTAAGTTGTGGGTGAACATATCAGACGACACAGCGATTCTTCAAACAGCTCTTGTTTATTCACAGGCCAGAACAGAACTGAACTGAAGGGTTCAGCCAGCCTGCTTATCTAGAGCTCCACTAGAAAGCAACAGTAACCATTTTCTGTAACTATCCAATCACTGAACGTCACTTTCGATCCCTTATTTG